AAAATCAAAGGATTGATTGATAGCAACACTCTATTAGTTCCACTTTTATCGCCAGATTTTAGCGGAAGATTCCCCGACTTTGGCTTCAAATCAGGTCTATCTGTAGAAACCGACAGATTATCAAATTCATTGTCATTATGAAACCTACTATAAGTATTGTGAGCATCAGTTGTGGCATTCATTGATGAGCCGATGCCACACATGAAGAAATCGTCAACAATTGAATATTTTCCACTCAATTGTTTATCTTTTGATATCCAGATATAAAAGTTATTCGCAGTAAAGAAATAGATGTCAAGCCCTCGACTAAACGCTGCGGTAATTGTTCCCATTTTCTGCACATTAAACCCAAAGTCATTGTGAAGAGAGACCGGACCCGAGAGATGTTTTCTTATCTTCAATGCATACGAGTAGTAGACGTCGTTTTGGATCACTTTTAAGACTCGGAAACCGGGAACTGATTGATAGCCAAACACTGTGTTAACAAGTTTCTCAGTGTTGTAGGCCAACCCTTTAGTGGGAAATTGAATCATTTTATAAATCACATAATAATGAACACATTTGTGTGAACCTCTCAATGGTATCGAATCGGAACCAATCTTAGCAATGATTCCGTCTTCAGACCTCCAGTTCTCCGAAATGGATGAGCCCTTAAAAAGTGCCGTCAAATTGAACCGATTGCTTTTGTTGGGCTCATCCATCATAGTATACAGACTGTCCACCTGTTTATACATATATCGATGGGAACTTCCGAGTGGACTCACACTCTTGGGATCCTTTAAATCGAATGTCCAAAAACAATGGTCACGGATGATCTCCACGTAAAATGTGTCATCCCTTTCGACACTTAAGGGTGCGATCGCATCGATTCGTGAATTCTCACACAAACGGCCGCAATAGTCGCTCTGACCCCTCACCACACTTTGTCTCGACATCACGTCTAAGAGCATAATCAATACAAAGATGTTGTCATAAAACATGGTCTTTATCTGTGGTTTAGAAAGACAGTCAACTTTGACCGTTGAATATAGAATTTTAAAAATTATTTTAATTATAGCACGTGCATTGTAATGTGATTAAATTTTAATTGTAGATTTTTATTTCTATATAAATTTCATAGTTACAAATTCTGTACTTCAGAATCTGTTTTATAAAATATAGACAAAAATAAGTTTCTAATTAATTTGTCGGCAAAAAAGTAAATCTTAACTATAAAACATCAATATCAAATATTATAAATAAATATTTTTAAATTTAAATAAAATAGAAATTAAGATTACTTAGTGATATAAATAATAAATAATTTATTTAAAAGCTAAATAAAAATAAAATATCAGCTCATTTATTATATAATCAGATATTGTAATGAACTTAATCAATCAAAAATAAATAATTTTTAATTTGAAATAATCGCAGGATATTTATCACTTCATTTAAAAAGTATTTAAAGCTTTGTACACTAAAAATAAATATCTTATATTTCTCATATTATTCATTCAAATACAGTATAATTATTTAATAAACGTGTGAATATCATTATTTAGTCTGACTATCGATAGGATATTATTTAGAGCTCAACAAAACTGATTGATTTCACTTGAGATAAGTTTCAATTTCATTACAATTTATCATTGAAAAACACGTGAAAAACATAGTAATGTATTGAAGCAACACAATACTGTACTTTGTCTGAGCAATATAACCTTTCTCAGTCATCTCTTTAAGTCAATTAACTCATAACACATTTAATTTCTACTTTAGTATAATATCTGTTAAGGAGTCACTGGGTTTCCACTGATTATATTGAAAATAAAATTACAAGATTTATTAAATTGCATGTAAAGTTATTAATAATTATTATCATTTAACTATTATATAATTAGCATTGTTTGATATAGCATTACACAATTTAGTTCCTAAAGGCTTATAGTTAATATGACAAATGCTGACAATAAGGTAAAAATAGTGGAATATTTATTATAATGTTTTGGATAAGAAAATGAGATGATTTGTTGTCGAAATTAACTTACTGTGTGCAATATTTTAAAATAAAAACTCGATCTCTATTTGATAAGCAATCGATGAAACAATGTATTGAATTTAAGTTACATTTTGTTACATAAGAATCGGTGTGTTTTGGAGGAGTTAAGCAAACTTGAAGTGAGTTCAGCGCTAATTAAACAGTCGATTGTATTTAGTGACGAATTTTCATTTCTTGATCGCCGATAAGATTTCACACTAATTGAAAGCCTCATTGAATATAGACTTCTCAATGGTTTCTAAAACTATAGCTCATATAAAAAGACAGTTTTGTTTGAAATGAAGCCGATTATGAGTTTCTGCATAACTGGTGAGGGGTTTATGTCTTGTTTTGTATGACTTGTTCTGATTCTAATTGACATAAATTTGGGAAATATTGTTCAAATTGTTAAAAAGCAAAAGAAAAACCGTTTCTTATGTTATAATCACTTCATTAGTGTGAAGAACAAACAAAAATGCCAAAACTTGAGAGGTATTTGTTATATAGTTTTGTGGTTATTGTGACCGTTGTGTTGACCAGTGATGACGGACTACTTGTGTCGGCTCAAGAATTAGCGGCAGACATGTGGACACCACTCGTGGCCTCATTGCCCACTGCAGTGATGGGTGCAATCAACTTAGCCATGGTTTCCCGGTTAGCGGCACCTAATAGTAACAGGAATAGAGGACCCCTCTCGGGAATCACCAGATTCTTGCCCGGAATGTCAGACAATGAGGGCTCGTCCAGCAAAATGGTTTTTTTGGGAAAGCATAACATCCAAGTCAGCAATTATAAGAAGTAAGATAATTGAATCCAATAATTCTGAGTCATGTCATTAGTATTTGAAAATGGATTCACTGAATGTGATTTGGTTGAGACATTTGATTCATAAATATTTGACTTAAACAGAGAACAAGAAGAAGGCGATGACTATGAAGACGACGATGAAGAAGATGATGACGATGACGATGACGATGAGGACGATGATGATACTGGAAGTACTAGTGGTTATGGAGGTAGTGGTGGGGGTTATGGCAAAAATACTAAGCAATCAAGCAGTGGATATGGAGGCAGTAGTCAGAGTAGTGGCTATGGAAGCGGTGGTCAAAGCAGTGGATACGGAAGCGGAGGTCAAAGTAGCGGATATGGAGGTGGGGGTCAAAGTGGATACGGCAACAGTGGAAACAGTGGCTATGGAAATGGTGGACAGAGTAGTAGCTATACAACAGATATGGGAAGTAGTGGTGGAATGACTTACGATGACTACAAGCAAATGGTTGTCATGAATGCAATGCAACAGCAATACCCGGGTATAGATCAAAGTCAAGTGTATTGGCCTCAGGCCACAGATGAGTCTGTGGTGAATAAAATCAAAACCAGTCCCACGTCTGAGAGTGAATCCAACCCCAAACTGATAGTAGGAGTGCCTCGAAAGTTGCCAAAAGGCAGTACACTATTGCCTGTGTTTAAACACAACTCCTACTCATTGCCGACAACTAACGAGGGTTTTCGACCTATCGTTGACACCAAACTTGAAGACTCTGAGATCAAGTCGACATACGAGCGGACAAACACTCCTCCAAATGCCAACCGTTTCGATGAACCAAATGATAACTACGAGAATAGCGTCGATGACTATCAGCCGGCAAACAAGTACTCCAGTTATGACTCAATGAATAGTAAATATTATCAAAACAATGACTACTCTAATGATGACACCGAAGACAGGTTTGACGGAAGCAATGCTCGCGACAAGAGGTCGACCGCAGGAGACAACAATAGAGCGGGAAATGTGCCGCCTTTGAGACACAACAAGACATCGGCCGCTAATATGAAAAACAAATTGAATCCACAAGTGATTAAACTATTGCTTTCGGCCGCTAATAAGCAAAACGAGAAGAAAGGCGACAAAAGCGAGAGAACTGAGTCCAAGAAATCGGTCGACAAAAGCGAAAAGAAAAGTACAAAAAAGTCCACTAAAAAGGCCGATAAGAAGAAGTCTAAAGCGGATGAAACGGCGAGTGATTTACAGCCGAAGGCATCGTCTAATCGAGTGCTGACTTCAGCCAAATTGACGGCCAAAGAGAGCGGAGGACAGGGCGTCCGATTCATACCATTGAATCAATACAGAAATATGTTGACCCATTCTGCCGACAAAAGGGGAGGAAATGGCGGTTACAGTAATAATAATGTGGACGACGATGACGACGACGACGACGACGACGATGACGAGGATGAGAGACGACGACGATGATGAGGATGACTATGACGTTCCCGAAGACGGGAATGTTGTCATTCAGATGATTAATAAACCGGAGGGCAAGTTCAATGTCGGGATCGGCGGATGGATGAGGAGAGTGTGGAACGGTCGCAGACGAGGAATATTCAGACGTGCCTTTCGATAGTTGGACACAAGAATTATAGTTTCCTTTTCAATTGTCATACATTTTAAGACTTTACGTCCGATTCTGTGTAAAGCTCTGCAATATTCTCATCACTTTTTTGTGTGCTTTTAGAAAGTGAGCGCTTTTTGTTATATTCTGTTTGTTATGTAAATTAATGTAATTTATATATTTTTGTTAAGTTATTGTCGATTATTATAATGTTATCAATGTTCATTTTTGTTTTCATTATTGTTTCGCTTCTCCAAACATTTTCATTGCATTTCTGTGTCGTATGTGTTAATCAAATTGTATGTTATGTAATATATTCTGGCGTTATGTACAATGTTTTGACGTTTAGTTTGTACTGTATTTTCATGTTTCGTACTATTTGTTCACTATTTGTCTGTAAATCTCATTAATCTTTTTTCATGTATTATTGTTTCATCAGTTGTTCATAAATGTTAAGCGTTTGTCATATTGTATGACTTTTTTGTTTTAATGTATTTTTGTTCAATTAACTAATGCCTCTCTGGATGTTTAAATGTTATTCTCTATTATCGCTAACATATAACAAAAATAATTACGATTTTCATTACTAGGCTTATCTCGAAACAAATGACTAAAACTTCAATAAAACATTAAAGTTTTTAATTAATTCTAATTACCAAAACAAAAAGTTTATAAATGTTATTAATTAAATCCAGTATTTGTTGTATCACTATGTAGTAAATACCGTACTGCAGTCTATTTACACATATTTTAAAATAAAATTCTGTACAAATATAGCTAATGTTCGGATTGTCCCCACAATTAGGGCTTTAAGTGTCTATTCAATCAGAATATTAATTAATATTTTTATTTGTCTTTAAAATAATTAAAAGATTGAAACAAATATTACATAAAATGCAATAAAATTATATATAAAATCACATTATCTCCATTACATTATAAAATATCAAAATCCAAACCAGCACTTTGATTGTGTGGATTTAATAGTGTTGTATCTATTGTCTGTTGCATATCATTAATAACCAAAATTTTAATAATGAAAGTATTTTTCTCAATTATTGCAATATTTCTTATTTTTAATATAACTTTTGCTGACGACTGTGGAGTCCATGTACTCGAAAAAGCTATTGAATTGTATCGAGATTTTCAAGCCCTTCGTGTCAGAGGTTGTCAGGACTGTAAGACTTTTATACTTATGTCTAAACTTATGTCAAAAACAATTAACTATTTTTTTTATTACAGTGAAGATCAGTGTCGATACATATTCTGTTATTAAGAAAAAATGCATTCAAGATCTCGCCGCAAGCTTTAATCTAATTTCATATGTAATCTCTCTCTCTCTCTCTCTCTCTCTCTCTCTCTCTCTCCTGTTGTTAAGTCAATAATTATAGCATGAATTAAATATTAATAATAAATAATATGTATAAACGATGCAATGGTTTCTTAGGAAAAAGTATACGAACTGACGCTAGACTTCTTGAGCACAGATTGCTTCCGGAAATCAGCGATCGAGACCTGCGATGACATTGAGTACAAGAAGTTGAGACACTGTGCCGTTGACTTCTGGGTCGACCACTTGGAGGTAACACTTCTAATAATCCTCTTAATACTAAATGCTTTGATAATATATAATATATTACTTACGGTTTAATAGGAAGGACTGGAATTGTATAGGAATGAGACCATTAGATACGGTGCTTATAGCTATTTGATTGAAGCTAAGGTTTGGCAACATTTCTAATAAATATATAAAAATAACTAAATTATGAATTTCTATGTCAAAGGGATGCCTCCAAAAGAGTCTGGATGAGATAGAATCGGCACATAAATTGAAGTCAATTCAAGTGTGAAAAGCCTATCAACTGAATCCCACTTCCAGTTATCAAACACAACCAATTTGTTGTCTAATTGTTCCTGGTTTATATACAGTATACCAATTGAATTGTCTTTGAATTATTACATTTAATAATAAACTTAAATTTAATTGAATTAAAGTATTAAACATAACAGGTAATACTATTTAACATAACAAGCAAAAATATTAATATAAACAGTATTACTTGATGTAACTTAGTTTGAAAGTTTGTAAAATAGTTTTGAGAATAAAACTTTCAATTAAATTAATTAAAGTGTGCTTAAACTTGGATTTGCATTACATTGTATCATAATACAATATAATGAATATAATAAATGCACTGAATGTCACACTTTTGGTCAATGAGTGGTCAGTTATAACATATTATTTGTATGAATACAGAGGCAATGAATCATTCAAATTAAAAACTGTAATTCAAATCATTGACACATTGAGTGAAGTGTTGAACACGTGTTCAGTGTTTGTCTGTTCAATGCATTTCCCACTCATTTGCCGACATTTCACTCATTTGTTAAATACAGACATTGTTTGAGAGATAAATTGTGGTCTAATTGATCCGATGGTGATCTGAGTGACAGTGTATGCGATGGCGGTTCATATGAATGCATTCATCCAAAGACTAATTGATATTCAATGCATTTATGTGCCAAAGGATGGTAACAAATGTATGGACACATTATCTATGAATATTTGGCGCTTCTATGAGTCCAATACTCTTCAGTACAAACACTTCCAGACGAGGATACGACACAAACAGCAATTGTCTTACTCTGTGGGCAAATATCTGGACCTAAATGGCTATCGGTTTGACAAGATCTTCATCAGCGGGTCGACAGCCAACGGATTGGCCACAATTGACAGCGACATCGACTTGTGTCTCCTGATGACCCACTTCTGTAGCTTCGAGTTCAGGAAACACCAGAAGTTGTCGATATTGGGCGCCATCGAGAAGATAGTGAGACGAGAGCTGGACGTCGAGGACAGCGAAGTGATCGACGCCAGGGTTCCGATCCTCAGATACATCGACCCCAAGACCGACATCCGGGTCGAGATGAACGTCAATAATGAGATCGGAATCAGAAATACAAGACTTCTTTACTGTTACTCTAAACGTGAGACTCATTTGCCATTCATTTCATTATCTTTATTGTATTGCTATTTGTCTGCAACTCTTGAATCCATGGCTTATATTGAAGTGATTTGAACGAAAATACTTCAAAAACTCTTATCTAAAGACTAATCGATAGAAACAATCAGTTTGTGAATCACATATGGATTGCGAAATGCAATCCTTTAATTGATTCACATTTTGCTTCACTTATAGTGTGAATGACTTTTGGCCTAAAAATGCAAAACTCTCGCAATTTTCACTTTTATCTCTATATTTGAATTTAAATCAAGAAATTAATTGTATTTTTGTATTGATGTGTGAGTCGATTGGAGGGTCGTTCCCATCTGCATAGCCATCAAGCGTTGGGCGAAACACTATCAGATAATCGACTCTTTTAGCGGTTCCCTCTCCAGCTATTGTGTCCAACTAATGGTCATATTTTATCTGCAAAACACTGGACCACCGGTACTGCCATGTCTTCAGCAGACGGACAAACACTTATTCGATGACAACGCGGACATCAATGACTACAAAGAACTGCCAGATTTGGATCAATTGACGCCTTTTAAGACCCATAACGAGAAGAGTTTGTCTCAACTGTTTGTCGATTTCTTCCGGTTTTATGTGTCTGTCTTTGACTTTGAGAAACACGTGGCGTCCGTACGAGTGGCCAAAACTCTGGACAAACAGGACTACACGAACTCAATGTATGCCAATCAATGGGAATACATTTGCGTTGAGGAACCGTTCAGTGGTGACAACACCGCCAGAACCCTATATGACGGCTCTGCCTATGATCTGGTTTTGACTAAATTCAAGAAAATGTATGACAAATGCAGTGATTGTATCGATGTTTACTGCGATTGTCAGTCACTATTATCTAATGAGTAGTCGTTTCAACTACTTCTATATGTATTCAGTACTTTTGGCCATAAGTTTTGGTTATCATTTGCATGTCTCTAACGCTAGATTCTGTTCATTTAAGTTATTCTCATTTAATTCATAACTTTTACCATTCAATTAGACTTTCATTTAATTTTTAAGTACCGTAATGTTGTTATTTTTATCGTTCTTAATGTTAACAAAACTTTAAATGTTTTGATTTTTAATTTACGTTAATTTTAACTTAACACTGTGATCAGTTTGAAAAAGTGAACATTTAAATACATTAACTGTAATAGTTTGATACAAACCTATTTTTCTTAATTAAAAGTCATGTTTGGATTTTGTTTAACACATTAAGTGTTTGTTTATTCAACAATAAAGAATTTGTAATTTGAAATAATGAATGACTTTTTAACAGTAATTAAAATAGATATCCATATTTATAAACATGAATAAGTCTGATATCAGATTCATTTTGTTGTCCTTTTGTCGATAAACCACTCGTCATATAAAGCATAATCTCTTTATGCAATCATACATTTTGTACCTTTTTTACTCAAATTATTAGCGTTTATCTAAACTTAAATTATTCACTAAATTCAAATGAATTGTTAAGCAGAATAATTATTCAATTATTAAAATTCTCGAAACAATTGTTTTGATTATTTAATGAGAATTACATTTCGGAAAAACATTTTCTCCTAATCTGAAGAATCGCTGCTTTTATGAAGCAAATGATCGATCAGTTAAATATTGAACACAAAAATAATATATAAATTATATTTGAGTTAATTTGAAGCGATTTAGTGAACTTATGGGACATCTTATCGTAATGTCTCGCATCGTTTCAAACGCTTGTCAATGAGTCTGTGTTTTGTTTTAACAGATATGTGTTTCTCATTTTAGACAACAGTCCCAAAGTGTCTCTTATAGTGAAAGCTTACGGCTTTAACCATATCGTCAGTTACGGTGACAGACGTTTGAATTGAGTTCATAAAAGCGTGTCATTTGAGGGCTAAGTTTAAAATTTCTGGGCGTTTTTACAAACCAAAACTGAAAGCATTTATAATACCTGTATATATTTCAGTATTGGTTTCCAAAATTCATGAGAAACAAGAAAAAGAGCTTAAGAAGTGGTTAACGATATATAAAAAAGTTTTTTATAATACATTATTCATGACTGACGAGAAGTATTAACTGTTTTTTCTTAGTATTTATTCTTTGCTTTTCAAAGTCAAAGCTTTCATTAACCGTAACTCTCAGTCAACAGAATAAAAGTTTTTTGTTTGTTTAACAAAAAAAGAGTTTTTTCTTTTTGAAAGTTGTGTTTCCATTAATCCAAATGAGAAATTTAAGTCTAGTGTTGGTTATTGAGTGCTTTTTGGTGTGTTTTCTGGTGTTGGATATCGACGATGTGTTGGGACAGTCGGCTCCGGGCTTTGACATGGCGTCAGTGTTGAGACAAATGATACCTCACGTGCCCGGAAAGATCATCGGTTTAATACAATTGAGTCTTTTGTCGCGATTATTGAGGAATCGGAACCGCAATCGCATTACAGATGCCGGCGCTAATGGTATAGACGACGACCGGGACGGACAGGTCGATGAGAGCGACGAAATGGGTATGGATATCGGCAACAAGAAGAATGTTATGGTATTCCTCGGCAAACATAACATCCAAGTCAGCAATCATGGGATGCAGAAGTAAGTGATCGTACTTACAGTTACAGTAAACCCAAAAAAATGAATATCCCTGATACTTTTATTCATAAACAACTTTTAAATTAACTTTTTTAACTATTAATTCTTGATTGCTTTAATTGGTATACATTTACTATTCTAGCTATACTACTGTAGTATGAGTACTGTTTAGACAATTATTTCTCAATGTTAGTAACAGTGAACCATAAACTATAAGAATCATATGAATCAATGAATCCATATTTATATCGGTCTTTCGACTCAACCTTTTTTAGTGAAGAAGAAGAAGACGATGATGAAGATGACGACAGCGGTGATGATGACGACGACGACGATGATGATGATGACAGCGGCGATACCTCTACTGTAAGCTATGGCGGCGGTGGTAGTTATGGTGGACAGTCATACGGTGCCGATTCATACAGCGCTGCGGCCACTGAAGACGACAGCAAAACATCAAAAAAGAAATCTGAAAAGAAATCGGAGAAGAAAAAGACTGAAAAGAAAAAGTCAGGAAAAAAGTCACAGAAGAAGACCGCAACTCCCAGTAGTTATGATGTCGGCGCTGATGGTTATGATGATGGCGAGGAAGGCCTTCCTTACCAGCCAATGATGGTTTACGCCAACACTAATGCAAAGCCAACGCAAACCCGATTCCCATGGCTTCGGAAGATCCTTCCAATGAGTTCAGGAAATGGAGACTCAGTTAATGAGAAGATTGTCTCCACTGATATCGACAGTGGTTTCGGTAAAGACTCGGATCACATAATGGCGTCGCCCAACGGCTTCCCTATCGGGGGCTCAAAGTTGAACGGATTTAGCAGCAGAAGTGATACCGAAGAGACAGAACACGAAGACCTCTCACTCGACGATCTCTTAACTTATGAACCGTCAGAGTCTGAGATCAATGAGCTCTTAGAACATCCGGAAGTCTTGGAATTATTGACTCAATTGAATGAAACTCTTAAACAGGAAGAGGCCATCAAAAGGCGAAAGAGATCAGTGAAGGACCTGAAAGTGGATAACAGTTTGAGTGCCGATAAATCACAGCAAAGCGATCATTTCATTCCGAGCGCACCGGTCGCTGATCTCAATCCCTATGGTTTGCGAATGCATCGAAATTTTACAAACTTATTGCCAGACTATGTCAAGAATAGCTTAATTTATTCGTCAATTTATAACCCATTAAATGGCCAAAAATCTGTCACTATTCCCACGAACAGACATATCATGAATGAATTGAAAGAAATGCAAAAAGAGTCGGAATTAGAACCAGAGCCACAAGAATCGGCCAATTCTTACAAATCTCGCAGTTATTATAATTACTACAAACCTTTGTCCTCTAAATCAAAGGCAAGTTTAATGTCTCCGACTGTCAATCAAATGGCGGTGACTGACGATAATCAGTACAACTCAGGCACGAGCGGTGACTATAACAGTAACACCGGCGCCGGTATGGGCGACACATATTCTATGGGCGACATGACTGACATGAGTGGTATGTATGGCGGAGGAGGAATGGGCACTAGTTTGCCAGTCATGGACCTGAGCTACTGGACTAAAGTGATGAACAAACAGACCTACAGCGCCGGAAACAACTATAATAAACCCACAAACTCGTACTCAAACACAAACACTTACGCAACGACTACAGCACCGGATGATGACGAGGACGACGAGGAGGATGAAGAGGATGAGCCCAAGAAACAGCACACGACTGTCCAAATCATAAATGCTGGCAAAAGTGCGGCCAATATGGGCATCAGTACCGGTGGCGGGAGCGACGGGTGCTGTGATGACGGCAGTCGCCGGGGTGTGAGGTCATGGATGCGAAATTTGCCCGGTTTTAGGGCTATGTTTGGCCGGGCTAATGGCTAAACCACTTAAACCGTAATCTAGGGTTAAATTTTAAAAATTAAAGAAAAATTAAGAAAAATCAAAAAAATATTGAGTAATTAATAAGTTTTGGTAACTATTATTAAATTGTTTTCACAGAAAAATAATTATTATTCAAATCTATCCGAATCAGAGGTGCCTTAAAATATATAATATTTTTTGAATAAATAATTATTTATATGATTAACCGTTTTGAGTGTAAATGTCCTCTAAATTGACTAAAAATATACTTTTATCTAATAATGTTTAAACATTGTAGACAAACACTAAGCCTATAATTGAATGTATATTAATATTTATAATTATGTTTATGACCCTATTCTCCAATTTTCCTAATCTCACAATTAATCAAATAATTGCTTTTAATATTTTGTTTGTTATACATTTTGTGCAAATTTTTATTAACTATTTGTGTAAACTCTATTGACTGTGATTTTCTATTATAATATTTTTGTTTAACAAAATTCTAATATAATTGTCAACTCTTGTGTGAAAAACACTATCTCTTACTTTAAATAAAATATTCAATGTTTCTCTCATTAGTATAAACGCATTGCTTTTTCAATTACATAATAGTGTGAAGATTCTACTTATGGTTTGCATTTCACATCATATATACAGTTATGTCATACACTTTATAATTAGCATTTAATTATTATTCAGCAGTTTTGTTGTCTTATTTGAAATCAATTGTGAAATAACTCATTAAACGCTTTAAAGTGTTATCGCAATCAATAATATAAATCTGTTTTGTCGGGAAAATTCCACTATTTATCAATAAATCATAATATTTTCATAAATTATTTCAATTCTTGAGATCCGAGAATAATATTAAAAATTACATTTACTTTTAGTCTATGTTTTACACAGAATCCAAAATATCGATTAATTTTTTGTTTCAATAATAGAGTTCATATCATTTCTAATCTTTTATCTGATGGTTGAAAACTAATAAAAATAACTGAAAACCATTAGAGATATGTAGAAAACATTTTAAATGAAATATTTTTGAACAAAAAGCGCAACATTTCAAACATATTTACATAATTTGCATTCAACATACAGTAGTATTCATTGATAGTATTCAACATAAGATATAATTTCTAATATATTTTATTATTGCAGATTTTGTTTAGCTTTTAGGATAATTAGAGGTTTAGAAAAGAATAGCAATTTAAGTAAAACAAAAATCTTATTGTAAAGGATAAGCCGTCAATTTCAGTAGTAATGGAGTTCAAGGATTGTTGAGTTTGTGAGTTATTGACATTAATTATGGTTATGTTGAAGACCTCCCGCTTATATTCTCCGATATTTCTAGTAAATGACTGAATTATTATTACCAAACCACTTAATTTGTAGTAAGTTAGAAAATATTTTAAAACTATTAAGCAAAAAATCAGTATTAAACAGTATCTCATTAAACTAACGAGACTTAAAGTGAGTCTTGTATTAAGAATTTGCATAATTTTATTATTATTTCTTATGGATATTATGTCTTATAAAGCAAATGATAAAATTATTGATTATTCTTACGTCTCCGTTGTATGTGAAATCAATATTTCTAATATATTGTGGCATTAATCATAAGATATTAATCAAATTAATTAGACTTTCATGAAAAGCTTGAATTGAAAAAAATTTTTCTTAAAATATTATACACAGAAAAACAAAAATATACAGTATAATAATCTAATAAAACTAGTTTACCAAAAGTTTTTAATATCATACAAATATAAAAGACTATTAATTAAAATATAATTATGATTAGTTTTAATTTTTAATTTTCTTTGCTAAAAATACTTTTAATGTTTATCTCAATTAAAATTAATATTTCGATAAAATCTAACAATTTCGTGAACTAAGGCAACAATTATATTTTGATAAAAAGTACTGTACAATTTCCTATTTATAAGTATATAATAACCAATAATTACAACTATTTAACAGCTATTACTATAACCATAATTTCTATTTTTAAGAGTAAACCTATAAAATATAATTTGAAAGTTATTTTATAAGCTCTACTTAATAGTGAAATCTCAATAATTTAAAACAAAAATGAAAATTAATATAAATTAGAGGGGCGTGTTATTTGTGTAAGGAGTTGTTTACAAGAAATTAAATATTACAAACAACTTATGAGAGAGAGAAAGAAAGAGAGAGAGAGAGAGAGAGAGAGAGAGAGAGAGAGAGAGAGAGAGAGAGAGAGAGA